AGGGGGGTGGGCGGGAGGGAGACAGACCCAGCCAGACTTACGATCTGCCCAACAAGTGGTGCTCCACAGGAAGGTGAGGGTCAGCCACAGCAGCATGGTTTCTGTCTCGTGAGTCCCAAGGCTCCTGGAGAGAAAGGACAGGCCACCTGACTCTCAAAGAAGAGCTCTGCCTGACCTTGTGGAGCCCCATCCATGGGAGGGGAGCACAACCCTACCTGGCCAGGAAAGTCTTGTCTCCCAGTCCTGGCACTGGGGAGTCTTGCATCTGGGCACCCTTCACCTGGCCTTTTATACCGTCCCAGGCCTTGTGGGCCCCCATCCAGAAGGAGGGAGCAGGAGCCACCCTGGGGACAGAAAGGAGCTGATCGGTGGGGGCTCTTCCTGGGGGAATCCCCAGAGCCATGCTGGGGGAGGCTCCCGGACATGCTGTGTTTGTTGTCTTGCCCCAGGGCCTACACAAACAAAATGGGACTGGGATAGGGATTTTGCTGTCATCTGAGTCTTTCTTCTCAGCACCCGAACTAGGTCTTGACTTCAGAGGTGGGGAGAGGTTTGCTGACAGCCCTTCCTAGGTTGGCCAGACAGATTTCAACCCCAGAAGGGGCTGTAGGTAGAATGTCCACAGAAGTTTTGTGGGGCCCAGGGCTCCTGCCTTGTGCACAATTGTGTCAGGACCTCATTCAGGTCTGGGCAGAGCCCAGTGTCCCTTGGGCTTTCAGGAGTCCAGGTCAAGCACCCCGCTAGCCCTTGGAGAGCCAGAGAAGACTTATCAAGTTCAGTGTGTCTGGTTTGAGGTGGAAGAGATGCCCCAGGCACTGGCCTTCCAGGGTCTGTCACCTGGAAGACGTCTGTGATCTTTCCTCTGTGCCAGGCCTGGGAGTAGCTGGGGATGTGGGGTGACCAGTAGCAAAGGTGTCATGACAAGAGGCACAGAGGATTGGGGACAGGTGAGCCTCCAGGCCAGTTCTTCCAAGGGGGCCTGGGGCCTGACTGAGGAGTCAGACTTTATCTAGAGGTAACAGGGTGCTTCTCAAGGTTCTGGGGACCCAGCTGGTGCAGCAAGCCCAGGCTTTCTGTGAGGGGTTAGAGCTAAGGCTGTCCACAGGGCTTCCCCAACCTTTTGGAAGAGCCACAGGGTCATAGTCATCAAGGTAGGGGCTGATGCCCCGGCCAGTGTGGCTCAGTTGGTTGGGCCTTGCCCCTTGCACCCCAAGGGCTGCTGGTTTGATTCCCCATCAGGGCACATGCCTAGGTTACAGCTCAATCCCCAGTCAGGGGCACGCAAGAGGCAGCCAATTGATGTTTCACTCTCATGTCAATGTTTCTCTCTCTCCCTCTCCCTTCCTCTCTCTTTATAAATCAATGAAAAAGTCTTAAAAAAAAAAAAGATAGGGGCTGATTGTGGGTATGGGTGCTGGAGCCAGATCATATCTAAATCCTGTCCTTTGTACTTACTAGTCATGTGATTTGGGGAGTACGCATCACCTCTGTGTGCCTGGATTCATCTGATATATGTGGATAACAATAGAACCTACTCACAGGATGTATGAGAATTCAATAAGATGCTTCTCCAGCTAAGGGCCTGAACACCAAAGACTTTATGCCATGCAGGCAGGTGTGCAGGTTTTGCTTTGCAGCATCCTTTGAAATCACAGATTAGAAACAGCAGGCTTATAGATCTAGAAGAGACCCATTAAATAAACGATGGTGTCATCTCTGTAGCAGAATAGTACAGGAGTGTGAAGAAGGAATGGAACACTCCTGCTGCACTAACACATTGCTCAAGGACACAGGCCAGTGGAGGCAAGGGTTCAGAATGGCCCCATTTGGTTACACAGAAAAAGAGAATGGCCTCGTGTGTGCACAGACAGACTGCTCCGGGGGTGCTGGCTCACCAGGAACTGAAACACTGGTTTCATCAAGATGGCAATGCTGGGAGGACTGGGAGGTGGGGTGGAGGCCCTGTTTAGCTGGCACCTTTACTACCTAGGTTCCCAGGAACAGGGGTCAGCTGCTGTGGCCTGTAGCCGAATCCAGCCCTCTTCCTGTTTCTGCACAGCCTGTGAGCTAAGAATACTTTTTACATGTTTAAATGGTTAGAAAAAATTCAAAAGAAGAAAAGCGTTTTGTGACACAGGAACAGTCTATGATATTCCAGTGCCATCACCCATCAGTGAAGTGTTATCAGCACACAGCGCCACCCACTCATTTGCATTTGGTCTGGGGCTACTTTCACCTACCGACCGGCAGGGCTGAGTCCTTGTAACAGAGACTTTGAGACTTAGAAAACCCAGAGAGATGTGGCAAAAGGGGAATTCAGAGGGACTTGAAACAGGAGGACTCCACATGCTGTGACTGGCTTTGAAGATGAACAGGGCCAGGGGGACTGGGTGTAGGGCTTCTACACCTGCAAGAAACTGAATTCTGCAAACAACCTGAATGAACGTGGAAGTGGGTTCTTTCCTAGTTGACCTGAGACACCTTGACTTCAGCCATGTGAGACCTTAAGCAGAAGGCCCAGTCACACGGTGCCGGACATCTCACCCACAGAAACTGAGAGATAATAAATGTGTATTGTTTTAAACTGATAAAAATAAAAAAGACTCAGAAACCTAAATGTGGCCCTTCACCCACAAAGTCAACTGACCCCTGGTGATCCCTATTTCCCTACTCTGGACCAGTCACAGCCCTGTCCATGGTACTGGCCACAAGGGGCCAGAGCGCTGTAAAGAGGTTCCATTTAACAACCACCTTTTAGGAAAGACCAGAGCAGAGAGGAGCTCTATCCTGAAAACTGTGCCTTTTCCTCTGGCCCAGAACTGGTCTCCCTGGAGAGGATCTTTGGGGCTCAGGCCCTTCCACCCCAGACCCCAGGAACCTTCTGCCAGAATGAGGCAGAAGAGACCTAGGATCTCACAAGCAAAGCCCTGGGAAGCAGGGGCCAGGAGGCCGCACAAAGGGGCTTGTGTTCCTGCCCCAGCCCAGCCTGAGGGAACTTATGGGAGTTTTGCTGCCAATTCAGGCATCTTCTTCCCAGCTCTAGGTTGGCAGGGTTTGAAGCCCAGAGGAGGGCCTGTCTGGGCCCAGACTCCAGGAAGCACTACCTGGGGTGAGAGTTGGAGGAAGACACAGTTTCTGGCCTGAACAAATAGGGAATGACAGAAGTTGTCCAAAAGTACTCATGAGGTGCATTTTCATAGAGCCAGGAGCATGGTTATAACCGATGCACACGCACACATGTGCTCACACATGGATACACCCTAAACACACACACTTGCCCACTAACCCTATGCACAGGAGCTTGCACACACTCCGCACACACATGCCTACACTTGTGCACACTTGTGTAGGAGGCCCCAGTCCTGGAGGAGACCCGCCCCCTCTTCCACCCTGGCCCAGAGCTGGCCCTGAGACTGAGGGCTCAACACAGGCCCTTTGTCCCTCAGGATCAGGGCTCCCCACCAGGGGATTTACTGGGCATTTACGAGGCCATAATCCCCTTCATGGGCGTGCCCCAGAACTCACTGTGTCAGGAGCCCAGAACAATGGGGCCTTCTCCCAGCAGAGCAAGCCCTGGCCTGGCTGGTTTGTTTTTTGAAGGATGGGTCAGGGCTGGCTGCCCTGGTTTCCCTGCCTTCTGGGTGTGGGGCTTGGGCAGCCTGAGGCACAGCAGACAAGAGGGGCTCCATCCCCTACCATCTCAGCTAGTTCAGTCTTCCTGCCACCCTAATGCAGGGGAGTCCCCTTAGAGGCTGGAACCTGTGTCCTTGACTTAAATCTTAGGTCTCATGGGTAAGCCTGGTCTGGCCTGAGCAAAGGTATAGTAAACAGCAACTCCACATGGCCTCAGCTGATTCCTGGGGCCCCAGGAATCAGGGGAAAGAGCCTGCT